ATGTGCAGAAGACACTCAAATAGCGTTAGTTCACAAATGGAGATGATATATTCCAAAGGAAAGATATTCTTCCTTCACGTTTTAAATATGGTTCTTGATGCAACCATCTGCGCACTTTCTTAATGATTGCGCAACTTTTAGGAAAAGCATTTGGATGTTCCTTTACTATAAGTAATGCGATGAGTTTTCATCAAAAACAACAAAAAAATTCAACTAAAGAAATCGGTTTAATGTCTTTATAGCCATAGGCGTCAATGCTGGTAAGTTCTGTATTAAAATCTTACATAAATTTGAAAATTGGCGTAAAATTACTGTTAAAATTACATACTTTTTCATAACCCTTCACAATCAATCAAATCTTATCATAATCAATCATTTTACTTATTTTGAGACACAACTAAAAAGAAAAAATCTACGAAAACACTATTCGTGAATGACTACCGAGATATAATTGCGAGTTCATCCACATTGATCTTCAAAACAATATATAGTGAAATACAACTGACAGAGCCGTACGGTGACAACGCAAGATCGTGCATGTTTAAAATTGTTTTACTGCTACCTCAAACTATTCATAACAAAATAAATTCCCAATCATTCAAAATTACAATCAATTATTCAAAATTGCACACCGTGTAGTGACAGTATTTATGCCACTAGCTTGTCAGCTCAAATTCAGTCGCTTTATGGACGAGAATTCTTGAAATCGCTGTCTAGATCAGCCAGATACTCCGTCCGGTAGTTTTCCGTGGTTTCTCCGATAAACACCAGGCGAGTGCCTAAGAAGTATCCCAACCAATGGGCCACGCACCTAGCGAGATCTTTTCTTCCTCTTCTTTGTCTTATCCTCATTCCTTTCTTACACGCACACTTACATGCACTACACTATCACACATGCCTTGTGGCCGGTCGGGAGCTTAGAACCTGTCCCGGCGGGGTAGGTCGTCGCCGGATCTCGCCATCCAGCGAGGGAATATCACCGCCACCTCTCGAGAAAAAAATCACGCACGCGACTAATGACCTTAACCATTGTCGTGGCCGGACTCTCTAACAATCAATCAATAAATTGGTGTTCTTATACTGTAAAACGATAATTACAGGTTCATTTTTTTAAAAGAAACCTACAATTTTATGAAAAAAAAATATTATTTGAAATAAAATATGTCTTGTCTTCATCAAAATTATTAGTATTTAATACTATTTTGCGACAATAAGAGTAGGTTCCTCGCAAAGAAAAAATAAACTAATAAAATTACAGCTTTTTACGTATTCTACACGTGGGCTGCTGAAGTGAGCGACGCACTTGGCGTGCCCTGGCCCAGCGCTCATTATCCGTTTAAACTATACAGACTTGTAACCGAACATCAGCTGGACGCGGCTATCCAATCGGGATCTTCGTTATTACTTTAATCTTCGGTATTGAAGCTCCCGGTTGGATAACCGCGTCACAGTCGATGATCTGTCAGAAGCCACTGTATTTAAAACTGAAGATATCTACGGGCAACTTGTGTGGCTCGTTGCTTGAGCCAGCTCGAAGACAGGGTTGGGTAAGGGAGGGAAGGTGATCGGAGGTCAGGTGCTTACGCGCTGCACGGTGAGTGTCACGCGGGAAACTGTAGGGGGATAGTACTGGCCTTCTGGTCCCTTCTTGCACTGGGGCATTCTGTTGAGGAATATTTTATTTAAGTTCATCAAAGGCAAATGTTACAAGGGACTTGGTGTAGTTGATATCGCATTATCATGAGTGGTGATAGTACGTACATATTAGTTGATAATGTTATTCGCAGTAATTAAGACGCTCCAAAGAAAGCTCGGTAAAGAGACGACGCGTAGTTTTTAAAAATTCAATGGTCTTTTTAACTATTCTGACCTATACTCAACAACCATGATGTGATTCTATTTATTACCATCATCGTAATATTAAATGAGTAATTGTAAATAATAATTCGTAATTAAACCATCAAGATAATCGTACGCTCTTTTACCATTATTTCAAAAGACTTCTTGGAATCCTTTCCTTTAAAAATGTTCGTTTTCCTGAACATTAAAATTCTTTGCTGCTTTCGGGAATTTGAAATATTCTGTGCTTGAATGGGGCACGTTCTGTAGTTACGTTGCGTTGAGGGGAAGAGGAAGGCGATAAGGGTTGGCGCGACGATCTCGACCTCTGTGGAGAGGGGCAAAGCACTGCGAATGGAAGCAGGACAGCCGCCACTGCGCCGCTGCCCTCCTCACACCTCGTCTCAACCACTCCGCATTTTAGCTGCGGTACTTGTTAAGTTACAGCACAGAGTATCTGAATGGTCGTCCCGGAATTGCACTGCACTTCATAAAATATCGATAGGTATTCTCATGAGCTTTTGTCGATAAGTTGGTAGCTGTTTAGTAGCTAAAGATTGAGAGAAATATTTAGCTTTGAGAAGTGTGTACTACAATTTATGTCAATTTATATATAACAATTTTAATAAATTAATATAATTTTGATTTAATAATAATATTTTTTCTAATATAGTGCAATGAAAGGGATTCCATCAATTATTGGAACAAATTTAGAAAATTTACGGAATTTCACTGCGTGGTCATGTTTTCAGTCCGAATCCTGCAAAATTGGACCAAAAATTGGGTCAAATTTTCATATTTTCTCAAACTCTTATAGTGATTCCAACTCATTAAATTTAGGTTACATGTAATATTTCGTAATATATGCAAAAACCTAATTTGAATTAAAAGCAAATTGTGTGGATAGGTTTTTCTTCGGGTTTCAAAACCATCATTTATGTTTACAGATAAAGTGAATAACAAATGATATAGAGTGTTAATCACTGATATGTGCACTAACATGAGCAGACAGATAGAAAGGCATCCGCAAGCAGGCATGGTTGGAAAGATATACAATGAGTGATTACGTAAACCAAGTACTTTCCCTGTCATTCTTGTAAGTTCTTATTTGAATGTACCGGAAAACCTGAATTTCTTTCAACAAATTACAAATTTTATAAGTCCATCTAAATGTGAATGTCTATATTAGGTAGCCACAGGCTCTGAATGCTGAGATAGAAAGCTCTTTTCAGGTTTAATTTCAACCCCACTAACGTGCTTGTTTTTTACGGTTTGTGTAATATTTTGAAAAACCTTTGGTTACAACTAGCCAACAAGAAAAAGTTGGCAGCACTGTCGGCGCCCGCCTTGACGTTGCGTGCGTTGCGTTGCAGGAAGCAGCTCCCGGAGGACGCGGCCGAGCTGCCCAACTACCGCTACCTGGAGGACATCCTGGAGCAGCTGGACGCCGCGCACGGTGAGTGAGCGCTGGCCATTGCCTGTCTGGCTTGGAAGATTTGGGAGGCACATCAAACGAATGAAGTGAATGCTCGTGCTTCCGCGGAATTTATTGATGTTTTAATTGTGTGAAGTTAGGACTGCGCTAGCGGTTGATTGAAAAAAGGTTATGGCGCAGCTATTTACAAATCCAGTGATACACGTGATACTGAACGTATATAAATATTCAAAACTATAAAATAGTCGCCTATAGTTATTGTCTTAGCAACACTGAATTATCTTAACCTGCAGTTATATTATACACTGCTAATATTGTCAAGCTGATTGGGGTAATGGTTGTCGTGCGACAGTCAGTGGCTTCAATAAATCTGTCTATCAACTCGTGTGGGTTGGGAAGGGCCTGGCAGTGTGGCAGTTGTGTGGCAGATACTAGTGTTAAATCATTTCTATCATAAGTACCTATGTTTTCAGACGTCGAAATGAGGTACGAAAAGCTGCGTTTAGATTGGAAGCACGATGATACGTCTCCTCTGAAACTTATTAATTAGTAGATTTAGTTTCGTTAACTGTGGTTTTGGTAATAATAAAACTGCCATTAGCTTTAAATTACTGGATGCACTTGAAAAGTTCGGGAGGCGGGCGTGTCCCCTTTCCGTTTTCTGGCCTGCGGCGACCGTGGCGTCCGTGGCGTCCGTGGCGGCGGCCCTCGCTGCATTATGGAGTGCGCTGGCACCGCTGCCGACCGCGCTCCGCCCTCCCCCTCTCGCGCCCTCCCCCTCTCGCGCCATCACGTGGCTCCTGAGCCGCACCCCGTGCGGATTTCGCGACCAGTCGCTTTCTCCCAACTCAGGAGGTTTTTTCCTAGTTTAACTCTTCCAGACAGGTATTTTTTGCATTGCACACTTCGCTCGCTGTTGACATATCCTGATGAACATGACTAACATTATAACCCTGAGATATGAATCAGTTGAAATTGAATGCAATATGATGCAAAAAATATTTTTTTATGCAATAGCCTCATCTAGAAACCGGAAATTTCGGTTTAGGATTTTAAAACCTCGACGATATTAGAAACAAGTGCTGTAGCTAAATATGGGGTCAAAGAAAAGGTATTTCTTATGTATATGATGCTTTTCTTATTAGAAGATAGTGCTACGAAAAGTTGTGAACAACACGACTAACTATTCTGGAAAACAAACATTGATATTTCTCATCTCCATCATCTCCATGAATTATATAACATCTGCGATTGAGAAAATTGATTTGTCACTCTTGACCTTCAGAAAAGTAAGCTTCCTTTAAGATCTTATCGTATGAAATGAATATTGTACACTGAGCAGAGAAATTTCACTCGATTGAATTTCCAGTTTCATACTTCTTACTTTGTTACCATATTATATTTCCTTGTACTATTTAATTGAAGGGTTCGACACAGTAACAAGGTAGGTTTCACCAGCCGAAGAATGGCTTCCGTTATTTGAAAATTTAGAGTTATGTCAATATCATGATTTTAGTGTGGAAATGTGTATCATCGTGTTGCTGTCCCAAACCCCTCATAAATACGACAACGAAGAGTAGCAAGAACGTTACAACGAAGAGTAAGAGACTAATATAACAAGGACAACGACTGCTAGTAGGCAGGTAAGCCACGAAACCAGAATATTAACAATTACATGCAGAGGGAAGGTTGCTGTGTCTGGTCTTATCTCGTTACTGCCCCAGAGCTTCAATCGCATTCCTGCTCATTTTCCATCTAAAAGAAGTCCGCGCGAGGTCATCGTCGCGGAATCCGCGGGCGCCGCCGAGAGGGCGAGAGAGAGAGAGGGCGAGAGAGAGAGAGGGCGAGAGAGAGAGAGGGCGAGAGAGAGAGAGGGGCGAGAGAGAGAGAGGGTCGAGAGAGAGAGGGCCGAGAGAGAGAGAGAGAGGGCGAGAGAGAGAGAGAGAGGGCGAGAGAGGAGGGGGCGAGAGAGAGAGGGGAGAGAGAGAGGGCGAGTAGAGAGAGAGGGGAGAGAGAGAGGGCGGAGAGGGAGAGGGGAGACGAGAGAGGGCGAGAGAGAGAGAGGGCGGAGAGAGAGAGGGGGCGGAGTGAGAGAGAGGGCGAAGAGAGAGAGAGGGCGAGAGAGAGAAGAGGGGCGGAAGAGAGAGGGCGAGAGAGAGAGAGGGGCGAGAGAGAGAGAGAGAGGGCGAGAGAGAGGGAGAGGGGTGGAGAGAGAGAGAGAAGAGGGCGAGAGAGAGAGAGAGAGGGCGAGAGAGAAGGGCGAGAGAGAGAGGCGAGAGAGTGGTAAGAGAGGAGAGAGAGTGGGTAGAGAGGGAGAGAGAGTGGTAGAGAGGGAGAGAGGTGGTAGAGGGAGAGAGAGTGGTAGCGAGGGGAGTGAGAGGGAGATCAAAGGCGCGCGCCTCCTCTCTGGGCGTGGGACGATCGTCTCACGGGCGCGCAGCCTCGACGCGGACGTGCTCTTAATCCCTTGTTCCGATCAGCCTCGGGTGAATGTCACTTCGCTCCCCGCTGACCCCTCAAGGCGCTCCGGCCAAGCGGCCGGTGGCTGGCTGCCCAGAGCCAGCGGCGGCAGGCCCGAGATTTTCGCTGTTGCATCGGCCTCGACCCTTTTGTGATTGTCTTGTAACCCCTTAGAGACATTTACGCGCCAGTCTGCCTCTCTCAAGTTAAAACCCAACTACTGTCTGGATGCATGTTGATGACAGAGAAGAAGAACGTGATTGAAGGATTTTGTTTCAACACAAACATCTACGGAACAGGTACAAGTTCGATATTCTCCAGGTGCGGGTGTGAAGTGCGAAAAGGGGACAGAACTCGTTTTACGGGAATGTGAGAAACATTGAGTGAGTGAGATCTGTAGCAAATATTGTGAGGGCATTGAGAGAATATAACATATCTACAAAATTGTTTAGGAAGAGTCTGAAAGGGGTTATGATGTGCAGACCGTGATTGGCTAAATAAAGACGCCAATGCCCTTTTAACAATTAGTAGTTAAAGGTTGTTGGTATAAGCGAAAGATTGCAAAAAACACAATTCAGGGGATGAAAAGCTTGAGTGGAGAATCAAGCTTAAGGGGAAGGTACTGGAACGTGCACTTTTCAACCAGTGAGTTATATTTTTTAGAAGATAAGCCGTAACAGATGACAACTATAACTCTCTTGGATAAAACATATAATTAATACTCGTAATCAAAGCTTTTGAAAT